TAATAACTTTATTTGAAAACTAAACTTTGCATCAGTTGCACACGCTATGCAGTACATTCACAATACAATCCACAGACTGTAAAACAGCCTCGAAAATCACAAAGACAATACAATAAAATATGCAGTTAAAATCAATCGCTCCTAAACTAAACATATACCAACCATTAAAGAAGAAGAAATTGAATCCAAGCCTCTGTCATTTGGCAAAGCACACTAGGTATATAGTGTGCTTTATCGAAGGGTGACAGTATCTAAGGGTGACTTCCCCTTTAAAATAATCTTGCGATTCATTGTAAATTTTGAAGCAAAAAAAATCCTTCTCATATTACAGTACGTTGTTTTGCGAGATCGCGGCAATCATCGAGCTCCTCATCACCTCCATCCCTAGTTTCGAAGCAATGGAGGGTCCAGTAGAAATATCACTCTCAGACTTAAATTTGAAAATATTTTTTTTCTTTTTTTAAAAATAATTTTGACAAATTTAGGGGTTCCCCCTCCCCCACCTCTTGTATTCCACTGCAAGATCCCTATATATGCTACTATGTGGGAATCATGTCAAAAACATTTTTTCTAATGTACTCTGCATCAAAAACATTTTTTCTAATGTACTCTGCATTTAACTAGAAATTAGACGATTTTGATCTTGATAATTGTATCAACTGTATGTTTTTGGTATTCGGATTATGTATGTGTGTACTGACAATGAATTTTAATTAAGATAAAGTACATGAATATTTCAAACTATTATAGTCTGCATGGCTGCAACGTTTATGATAACAGTACTACTGTAAAAATGCATTGGACTAATATAGACGCTGTTTTAAATTAGCAACACATTCTGTGTTTGTTGAGTATCATTTAGACATTAAGGAGCTTTTTATTTTCGTGATGACGTAACGCTAGAACGGATTCACTCATCCGTGACCGTCTATACATTCTCTGCACATAACGTCCATGCGCAAACTGCGTTCTTAATCCAGAAGACAACGATAACGCAACGTTCTCGTATGCGCAGATTACTTGTTAGTGAGGTCTTTACGTTCTATGTACTACCGTCGTCGTGCAATCGAAAACTCCATATTGTGGCCACTAAAGGATTTACAGTATCATGTTTTGTATTAAATTGCTTTATAATAATTTGTTTGGATTAATGTTTGCATGGAACCTGCATCTTCTTCGAATTGGAAACATTAGACCTAGCTGGCCATTTATATCATATGGTAGCTTGCAAACTTTGAAGTGTTCATGCATATTTGTTTCTGTTGCACATGGTGAGAAACAAAAATAAAATGGATTCCAGTTCCAGCACATTTGTCCTCAGTTATTTTTTTATCAAGTATTTCTTCCTAAGTAAGCTACACAATTATTATTATTATTATTATTTAATATTATTATTATTATTAATATAATAATAATATAATTATTATTATTATTATATTAATAATAATAATATTAATATTAATAATAATAACAATAACAACAACAATAACAACAACAATTATAATAATAAATAATATAATAATTAATATTATTAATAATAATAAATAGTCTCTCGAGGCTGTTTCTGTGCGGTGCTGCCTTTATTTCACTATTGAGAATTGAGTGGGGGTGGTGGTGGTTGAAGTAAATTAGGAACATTTTCGTAGATTTATTTTATAGTGAAGGGATTTGCGGTGGGATAGATATGCTCTCCACTGAGTGCTCTTGTTAATAGAGGCAATGTGCGATAAATATACCTCCTGTTGTTGTTGTTGTTGTTATTGCATAACATTGCCATATTCTTCTCAGTTACTGATGAGACGATGTTACGTCGAAATAATCAACGTTCTTAATCTGTCGTTTCAGTCGTATAAACAAGAAGTATAAATGGAATAGTAAATTGTTTGATTTCATTTATTTGTCTATACATTGCATATACGCTGTAGTAAAATTACAAATATGG